TGTCCACAGCCCTCCCGAAGAGTCTGTCTGGCAAGTGCCATCTCGGGAGCCGAAACGGGGACGTTTTGCTGCGGGCTGCCTAGGCGGGTTGCAGTGCAAATCGCAGTAGAGGAGCTCGGCTGCTAATATGAAGTTGCCCCCTTACAAAAAAAAATAAATGAAAATAAAGACATTGGCAAAGTACTGGGAGTGGGTGCGGGCAGACTGGGCAGGTGCCTTCAGAGCCAGTCCGTGGGCAGGCTACACCAGCCCTGCTGCCTTCTCTTGCACATTGTATTCCTTGCTCTTCTTCACTTTCCAGCTGATGAGCGCGAGAAGCATGGTGCCTATCACTTTGTATCCAACCTGCAGGCCTATGTACCTGCCAAGAGAAAAGAGAAGAGTCATCGTTCCTGTCGGGAGCAACACGGGGCCTTGTCCTGCGCAAGGATGGCATTGCTGCTGTGCAGGCAGTGGAGCCCAGCTTGTTCCATGCTGCTGGCCACTGGGTTGAGTTGTGGCCTGTTCCCATTCCAGCTTCAGCTGCTGCTGTGGTGGGACGCACTGGGGCAGGATTCCCCCCACAACGTAAGGACATGGCCTGTGCTTCAGTGTCTGGAGCCAGACCTAGATGTATGCTGGGGCCATGGGAACCGAGGGACCTGATTTGTTGTCCTCCAATTTCTGCCTTGAAAATGATCCCATGGGAAGTGAATTTTCTTGGTGAGGCAAGACAGCTAGTGAACCTGACAAGGGCACACACGTCTATGCAGGACGGAGCCCCAAGCGCCCAAGGCTAGGCTCCAGCAGCTGCCTCTTAGCAAGTCCAGGGACGTTGGGAAGGTGTGTGGGGCATGAGCATGGTGCATTCACCTTCCTAGGGGTATTTTTAGTCCTAGAAGAATGTTTTTGGGGTTTCTGCAGAAACACTGGATGTGTGCAATTGCACATGTGTGTGGTGGTGACCCAGCAGAGCGCGCGCGCGTGGGTACCTGTTGCGGAGGAAGTCATTGTTGTAGTAGGCACAGAACCTGCGCTGGGTGCACTGTTTCTGCCAGTAGATGCAGGAAGAGTCAATGAGCGCACCGAACATGGCTGGAGCTGGCAACCAGGCTTTGGAGAGAGGGGGAGAGGTGGGTCAGGCCACACGTGGCTGCCGATTCCCCTTCCTGTCCTGCAGCATCACATGTCTCTGCGGTCAAACCCAGCAGCCCTCAAAGCAAGCCTGAATGGCACTCAGTTCATTAGCTTCCCTTTGCCTGCTGCCCCTTTGCCTCCCTAAGAAGGTTCAACATCACTTGTGGCCTGAGCGAATGCTTTAGAGAGTCATCCACCACTACCTCTTATTTCTTGGAGACCCTTCAACACCGTAAGGGAGAGATCTCAGTCGGTTGCTGGAGCCATGGCAGATTAGGACCTGGCCCTCACTGCCTCATTGTGGAGGGTGGCTGTAAATGAGGGTTTTTACTCGCATGGGGGAACTTAAGGGCCAAACCCAAACCAGGCTGCTCCCTGCAGGGACCCGTCAAATGGCCCAAGTTAATCATACAGAAAGGGACGGGAAACCCTGAGAGCCCTGCTGGCCCCCTTTACGTTGCTGAAAGGTTGTGTGGGAGCTGTAAAGAGATAGATACTCACCTAACACTCTCATTAGCAAGAACTGGACTCCAATAGCAAATGACTTCTCATCTTGATTCACCACCCTGCAGGAGAGAAGTCACAGGAGTTGAGAGCTAGCAGAAAGCCACATTTGTCACCAAGAGCCAACAGCTGCCATGCATGGCTTGCAGCACTGCGTTCAGGTTTCTGGGTTCACTGAGTCTAACAGAAGTCATCAGGCTTAGCTGCTTCAAACCACATTTCTCCCCAGTGACTGAGAATAGAAAAAAGCTGGGAAGCAGGGGGGAAGAAACCAAATGAGTCTTAGGAGAGTGCGATGAGATCAGAGGCCTTCGCTAGGGAGCTCTACTTGGAAACCCAGAGAGATTTTCAGGGAAAAGTCATGAAGGCAATGGAAAATGGGGATTTTAGTTTTTAAGAAATGTCTTGCTTGGTTTTCCCAGAAATCTAAAGGTTAGCGTTAATGAAAACTGGAAACATTCCATTTCTTAGAAAAATGTCATCTTAAGTAGCCAGATTCCCAACTAGGAGTGGTGGGGGACATTCAAAATGTGCAAACAAGAGGAATTCCCAAATTCTACAGAGCCCCCCAGCAAGTTTCGCACAAAAGGGAAACCTTCAAAATCTGTTCATTTAGTGAAGAAGCCCATCTTCTCATCAGCTATTTATGGCCCTGACATATCGCCTGGCTCTTGTGGCGATGCGCAGTCACATTTCACTGTTCCCTGGGCAGATGTCCTCTCTGGCCTGGAAGAAGGGGGTGAATAGTGGATTGGAAATGAAGGAGAAATGACTTTGGGCTGAGCCTGTTACTCACCGTAAAACCATCATGTAGAGGGGATTGTGAGACAGGCATGCTACCAGTGCTGCAAACGAGATGAGGAATATGGCAGGAAGGAGCATGTGGGAACAGCTGAGGGGACAGGACCCGGTCCTTGCAGAGGACAGCCCGTTCACAGCAGGGATCTGGGAACAGTTCTTGTAAATCTGTTGGCAACATTTGGAAAAATGGTAAACCTCCTGAAGGTCCGAGTGGGATTTTCAGCAAAATGAGAGTCTACAGAGCTAGCTGGAGGAAAATTACCTCTTGAACCTGCAGCAGGACTGAGAGAAGGACAGGGACAATGTCTCAAGGAAATCTGTCAATGAATGCACTGGAACAGGTTGCCCAGAGAGGTTGTGGAGTCTCCTTCTCTGGAGATCTTCAAAACCCGCTTGGACACAGTCCTGGGCCACGTGCTCTAGGTGTCCCTGCGTGTGCAGGGGGTTGGACTCGATGACCTCTAGAGGTCCCTTCCAACCTTCAGCATTCTGTGATTCTATGAATGTTTGCTGCATGCAAGAATTTGGCAACCGTAACAATAGAGACAAGTCAAAATCATTGCTCTGGGCCCTGACTTTGTGCAAGCATGGTAAGAACATCAATTCCAATGTCAATGGAACAGCCCGACTTCCCGCTGGGTGACCCGGCGTCCTGCAACAGTCGTGTGCGGCTGTTTTTCCTTTTGCCGAGCAAACTCCCAGGGCTTTGTAGAAATTCTTTGGCATTGCTGTGGTTTTGCGCTGCACCCAGGCAGGTCTGCCCTCATCTAAGCACAGACTGGCAGTCTGGTGGCTGCAGACCTCCGATGAGCAGAAGCATCAGAGTTCTTGCTTCGCTTGGAAGAACTACGAATCATCTCCTAGTGCTTTATGATAGACTTGTTCAGTATATTGATTTTCTGGAAGATCTGCATCCCAGCTGCCCAGCTCCCAGCTCCAGCCTTTGAAATGCATTCACACAGCATGGATTCTACCACCCAATATCCCATGCTTGTCAGGTGCCACCTAAATCTCCATCCTTTATGCCCACATAGACCCCTGGTTTTGGCAGTGCAACAGGCATCTGCGTGAACTTCAGATGCAGTAGATCTTTAGGAAACACTTTGAACTCTGGCTCTTCAAAGCAACTGCATGGACAAGATAGCTCAGCCGTGTGGCTGCTTCCTGGCCCTGCTACTCACCGCGTGTCTGGGTGTGGAAGAATTAAAAGTGCTGTTGGTGCAGCCAGCGAAACAAGGAGAGATGTACTCCACGTTGTTATCTCCACATACCGGGTGGAAGATGTGCTCAGAGCAGTGGCACCCACTGGGGGACTTAACCTGCTGTGGGGAACTTGATGTACTGCCAAAAGTGAGAGAATAAAAAAAAAAAAGATAATAAAAAGGATAGGAGGAAAAAAAAATCCTTCCCAGACCTGTTAGTAGTTAACCAGTTTCCCCATTCCTATTTGTGCTGGGTCACTGCCAGTAGCAGTGTGGCCTTCTGCCAGATCCCAATCCCCTACAGGTACCTGCAATTTACAGTGAACTTAGCAGTAATTATATTATGTCTGCACATGAGCACTCACACAGTGTTTTTTTTTTTTTTAGTTTTTTTTTTTCTGCAGCTGAAAACTAATCAGCAAATGCCTGGAGAAATGTGTCTGGGCCCCATCCAAAACGGCATGAACAGATGTGCAAAAAGCGATGTCTGGAAACCCCGTTCACTTGGAAACTGGAAGCAGGCTAGTTTCCAAACCAACCTGATGGCAGAGTGCAAGTCAAGAGGACAAATTAATTGATTTGTTTTGTCTCGCCTTACTGCCGAAGGGAATTTGTTTGCTGGAATAGCGCAGTCCATATCCTATGAGAATCCAACATCAGGGCCCCATCCTTGGGCATGATGGGCAAGGTGTAGAGCCCAGGTTCACGCGCTTGTGTAGTCAACGGCTACCAAGATGTCTACATGAAAGGTGTTCTAATTTAATTTAACCTCTCTGTCATTGCAAGGGGAGAGGTTTTCTGTGTACTATAGGGTAACACTTGGAGCTTGTCAGGGCTGTCTGAGTAACAAACTCGCCTCACAGAGCTTATAGGTTTTGAGTAAGAATGCTTGAGAAGATAGAGGGGGGAGAAGATCCAAAAGCTGTGATTATAAGAAGTTGAGGAGAGCTGGCCCAACTATTGCTTGCGCAGTGAGATTTACTGAGCCCCTGACGAAGCCCCTGATGAGATGGAAGGGCCTACTTGGGTGTGATCTCCGATAAGACAACCTCTTTGGGTTTGTTAGGCAGTGCTTTCGTGTTCTTGGTTTCCTTTTCCTAGTGCAAATCAGGGAAGGTGCCAGCACCCTTAGTACACCTCCTCCTCCTGGCAGTTGCTGCAAGATGTTGCAAGAAAGAGCATGGGCAACTTATTCACTAGTCTTTCTCAAGCGGCCCTGTGCCACTTGTGGACTGACTCTTACCAGGTAGACAGCAGCAGCTCTGCAAGCCCTGAAGCTGCCAGAGGAGCCACCCTAAGTTCTCAGAAGCCCAGAGCTCTCACAGTTCCACCCCATGGATCACCTAAGTTTGCAGAAAAGGAAAGAGATGAGCTACGTCTGCAAGCTACGGACTCTGGCAGTAGATATGGAAGGATATGATATAAAAGGAATCACTGCCCTCCCCCAGCCTCTTCTTTCATGGACAGCCCTCTGCCAGCTCCCAGCTAGGTCAGCAAAGCCCATCAAGACTGGTGTATCTTAGAGAGGCTAAGACAGTCAATCTGACAGTCGTGGCAGGAGGCAAACATGGTGTGAAGGCCAAGTGGCAGCTCCCAGCTTTCAGATGCAGAAGTTTTGCAAAAGTGATGCCAAGATGCCTTCTAAAATTTAGCTGAGGCACAACCAAGTCTTGAGACGAGGCATATCCTTGCATGTGAAGTCTTGCTCTCGCCTAACAAGCAGGGAGGTCAGTACTTCACAGGGCATCTTCAGAGCTGAGGCCTTTCTCTCAGAAAGTGCTTCTGGCCAGGACTGCATCCAACAGGGCTGCCCACTAAGCCCTTTTACTTCCCTGCGATGCAGGGATGCAGGGAGAGAAGGGATGGCGCAGTGCTGCTAGGGATCTCACACGTCTCCTGTTCTGCTTCTGCCCTCAATTCAGCTACCTGGACACTAGCAAGCTGCTTCATTACAGCAATTAACAAAAGGAAGGGGAAAGAAAGCACCTGGGAATGTCCTTGTTCCTATGCCTTCACAGGCTCCTGACTTTCAGAGCACATTCTGTGCAGATCTCATTGCAAACTATAAACACATCATCCACCAACTATGAGTTTGTTTGCAGAGCTGTTGCTTTCCTTTGCTATGGTTATTTAAGTGGTTTTTAAGTGGGCAAGGGGAGAAGTACATTGAGTGCCCTGTCCCTCACCCCTCTGCCATGCCCCTGGGACAAGAGGCTTATCGCTGGTGAAGGAAAATATTTGTCTGAAAGCCCCTTGCTGAAATGTTGGCAGGGTGCAGGGAAATGGCTTGGGTATGAGGCACTTGACAACAAGGTTGGGGTGGAGTCTAAGTGTGGTTTTGTCTTAAAAAAAAAAAGTAGAAAGATGTGATAAGAACCAGAAGTTTCCACCCAGGCAAGCACCAATGTGACTCCCAGAAGGGATGAAGAGAGCAGGCAGCCTGCCCATATGTGGGAATGATTTGAACATGGGCAGTGATACCACATGACCCTTTACCCCTTAAAAACCCAGAGCTGAGGTGAAAAATATACCCTGTTTGCTTAATACAGACAATCATGGATAAATACCCTCATCATTAGGTCTCCTCCCAGGAGCGGAATTCAGAAGCGAACAGGAAAGTGGCCCCATCTCCTCCCTTTCTGCTCCATGTGCCTATATTCCACCCCTACAGATATTCAGAAATGGTCATTAGATCTTCTGTGCAGGACAGGCCAGAGGCTCTGGTGGACCCTCACTGTCTCAAAATGTCTACAGAGTGCAGGGGCTGAGGTAAGGTGTCTGAAGAGACTGTCAGTACAGAGCAGAGCACTCATATTCTGAAGCACTCCTGGCATGTCCTCCTGTAAAAGCTGAGGTCCCTCCAGGCTCTGGAGAAAGAAGGAATTAAAAGACAGGAAAAAAAAAAAGTGTCTGTGTTGTTACCTGGAGGGGTAGATCCCATCAATGCGCCCTGTGGAGCAGCCCATGAAGAAGATAGGCAGGCAGATGAGGATGGAGAAGACAAGCACCACCACAGCAAACCGTGGAATGGCCCGGAGGGAGAAGGCAAAGCGTTTCATGACTATTCCTCCTAGGAGCATCCCGAGGGCTGCTGCTGGCAGGTTCACAGCTCCTGCAGAAGAACAGAGGTGTTAGCCTGAGGTCCTTCCTGCCAACACCTATCTGCCATCAGGGTGTGGAGCCAGTGGTTTTGTGTGGTGGCTGGAAGAACCCACAGACCACACAATTACTGAAGACGGACCAAAGACAAAGGTAGATGACTCCTACAAGAGTTCTCAGCCTCAGAAGTCTGACTAGAGACACAAGTTCCAGCTTGGTGCATAATCTTTATCCCTTGGGTTTGCTTTTGCCAGCTTCTTTTAAGGATCTTTGAGATCCACATCTACTTCAGCCAGGTAGCACTGCGCGTTTCCAGTGAGAGCTGCCTATCTTCAAGCAAATGCAGTTAGTCACCAAGAAGCTGCATGGCAGGCATCAGCCCGGCCTCACCCCTGCTGGCATCTCCAGGCAGGAAAGAGAAAAACTCATCAACTGGCTCAGGGTCTCACCCACACCCTTCCCAGATGCTGCCCTAGGAAAGGAGTTTCCAGCAATTTCCTCTAGCATGATTAAAAAAAAAAAAAAAGGAAATATGGGCAGGTGGTTCCCTGTTGATAAACGTATTTTCCACCCTATGGCTGCACCTGTTAGAGTTGAGGTGCATGTGCCTTCATCAGGCATTGCTCACCGATGAGAAAGTTGGCATAGGAGGATGTGGCACCATACTGCTTCTCCAGAAACTTGTTGAGGAAGGTGGCAAGACCTGCAATGACTGAGGAGAAGCTGCACTGAGCCAGCACTAGGAGGATGAAGAGGGGGTTGAGGAGAAGTCTGAGGAAGATCTTTGGGAATCCTACAAGAAAACAGCAGGAAAAACATAATTCAGCCATGTGTTCCTCATATCAGCAATCCATACCATGAAAACAAACAAACAAACAAACCCCTTAGACTATTCCCAGTGGGCTAAGACAGAAGGCATCTAAGAACATGGGAAAAATGGAGAGAGGGGCCTCTGGCTCGGCCCGGCAGCTGGCAGGACGGTGACGAAACTGCCCTGAGAGGCAAGGTGGAGAGCTCCAGTTCTGCCCACCCCGCTCCATCCCACACTGTCCATGATTCCAAATCCACAACCCATTTTACCAGCCAGAGGGGCATTTATTTCTTGAATAATATTTTGAACAAAACTTTGCCTTATTCTTAGACAGCACAAATGAGCAAAAGAGCATGGATTTCAGTGGAGCTACGTTGACTGAGCATGGGGAAGGTCTGATGCCCAACACTGTTGATCATAATGTATTTTCCTTACGGGATAATCCATTTCCCGTGCCCCAGCCAGGACAGCTTGGCTCTTCAGCGCAGTCAGAGTGACGCCAAGCTACTCAGGAGCTGCTCTGTTTGTTTGCTGTCACATTAGCTTTCCTTTCCTTGCACAGAGTGCCGTGGAGACCTGGCATCATTCATCAAAGCCCAGTGGGAAAGAGAAAAGGGAGCTGACGGCCAGATGTGACTGCAGCGGATGGGGAGGGAGGGAATGCCTTTATCTGGTAAGAAGGCATCACTCAACTAAAAGAAATCACGAACCCAGTCCCTCTCCTCAGCGACATGCCTACTCAAACAATCCCTACATAAACAAATTGCAATGTAGTGATCTTCTTTAAGCAATGGCCACTGGCGCCTGCAGTCTCTAATGTTCCCATGCAACAGTGGGCTAAACACACTGAGGAGTGTTTTCCAGGGCGCTCATGTCATTTAAGCATCTCAGACTTGTTTTCAGAAATGACTCAGGTCCCACAGACCCATTGTGTGATGATCTGTCTTCCATTAGTTCTTAGCGAATGACTGTGTCTGCCCAGTGCTGAGCACTTAGGAACGTAGGTGATGAGCATGGTTAGAGCCTAGATGTCCCCAAGCTGGCTCCAGCACCTCCATACAAGGCAGTGGAGACACTTGAAGGCTCTTGACAAGCACTTTCAGCTGGAAAATGGGCGCATGGTGGCCTCCACCTGCCCTAGTGTGGCTGGGGGCAGCAGTGTGGGGCACAACGTCTCCATTTGCGCTATTCCCCCTCGCTGTTAGGTGACCGTTCTTTACTTTTTATGAATTCCAGCAAGGAGATTTCTTCAGCCTCTCCCTTCTCCATCTTCCTCAGCATGCCGGCCTCTGAACTGGGGTCCTGGGGAGGGAGAGAAGACCAGTCTGAGGTGAGAGGGCAGCACTTGTGTGTGGTTAGTACAGTCCAGGTAAGGAGCTGGGTTACGGGAGGGTGATACCGCTATTTGTCAGAAATATTCTCCTCCTGCCAAGCCTGACAATTTCCTCGAGTTTACTCAAAGAATCACTGCAGCTATTGAGAAGAGCTGAAAGACAAAAAGCTTGTCCCATGCTGACAGCTTTAAAGAGCTTGGGGAGTTTTCCTCTCCAGAACCTGACAGAAGTACAGGCATCACTTTTTTAATTCTGCAAAAAGTCTGAAAATGAAACTGGGAGGTGGGTCACCTGAAGTCTATTGCATACTCTAATTGCAATTATGAAATATTTTGGCTTTGATTTTGACCTTAAAGATGATAATTGAACTACTTCAAACAACAAGGTATTTTTGAAACTAAACTGTTAAGTCTTGGGTTTAAAAATGCTGAAATGGAGCATTTTAGTAAATTTGGATCTTTCTGCTTTAATAGGAATCTTGCCTCTCTTCTTTAACATTTTTTTTTCCAAAGGAAAAGCACATTTTTCAGACACCTCGACCTAACTTAATTCTAGCACTCTTCCCCTATGTCCTACACTTGGGGACACTGTTTTGAGCAGACACTCTCTATGTTGATGTCCTTGCTAATGTGTATCTTGCAGAGGACTGGCCGTGGGGTGTTAATATGCAACCTTTGCCAGCATAGAAGAGCACAACCAAGAGCACACCAGAAGGGTCAAGCGGCGATGCATAGACCCCAAGAAGCCATCTAGCCACCCTCTCTCAGGTCTCCCAAAAACGTTCTCAACAGATGCTGTCTAATTTTGGTGCTGTGATGCTGGAGCTCATACGGCTTTGTTCTACTAGAGGCAATCACACCAGTGCTCAGCTGGCCTGCCTGTAAGGCAGACTCCCACTTGCTCGAACAGGAGTCTTTCAGAGTTTTCCATTCATGCAGTGGAAGCTCATCCCATCTGCTTTTTGCCTGAGCAGTTTCCCTGCTAGGCTGTAAATGGTCCAGAGCCCTCCGTCAGCACGGTGATCTGAACCAGCACCGGCTGCCCCTGCTCTGCTGGGGGATGGCAGCACTGGCGTGGATGGACTCATTCTGCAGTGTAAGGTCCATGATAGGACCAGAAGAGCCTGCAGGAATTACAAGGAGGACAAGGCAAACGGGAGAGGAGGCACAAGAATAGATGCAGCTAGTGGGAGGACATGAGCTCTGCTTTTTGTCTGCAGAACTGGGGCAGTTCTGGCTTTCCCACTTATGGTGAGAGAATGCAGGGCCCTGCCCTTCATCTGCTACAGGCATGGAGCTTTTTTTTAAAGGTTTTTTGCTTGTGAGGGATTATAAACTCATCTCAGAAAGATTCTTGTACTCTTTTCCTCCCCTGCATCCATTTCCTTCTAGGGGCAAGTGTTCCCATCCAGAGCACAGCTCTGGCAAGAAGATATTGGGCCCTCCAGAGCTTGGGTCTTACCTGTCCTTTGAGCATGTACCGAGGGAAGAAGAAATAAGGAATGGAGGTGACCACCAAGCAGCCTGAGGAGATCAGCAGTCCTAGCCACCAGGCTCCGATCCACCGCTGGTCCTTTGGTGTCAGACTCACGGTGGCTGCAAGACACAAGGGCCCATCCTGAGAGCTCTGTCCCTGCATGTTCTGGGAGCACAAGGGGCAAACTGTCCATTCAAATATGGACCAGCACAGCACAAAGGGTTCATTGGACCTGTGTGTAGCACAGCCCCTTCTACATCAGATGCCTTCTGTGCAAATGGATAGAAGTGGAGCTCCCACCAGGGTTCATAACAGGCGCAAAGTCAACCATGGGTGCTGCATACCTGTGGGTCCCTTCACTCGGCTACATGTGGTTGTGTTTTTACTTCCTTTCTTCTAGCAAGGAACCTATCCTGCCACTGCTTATCTGAACCACCCTGAGCTTCACAAGTGCTTGTAGTACATATTTAGTTATCCAAAATATGTGTGTGGCATGGATTCAAGTATTCCCTGTTGAGCCGGTCAGCAATGCAGTGATTACGGGGTCCTAACTCTATTCCTCTTTGCCTGGGGCACACGGCTTGTTTGGAATGTGGCTGGCTACAGAGATTGCCTGGAGAAGATGGGGACTGGGAAAATTGCACAGCCACTTTCTTGGAAATAATTCCTCTCCCATTGTTCCAGCCTTGATAGCTGCCTGCTTGCAGACATCAAGGGAAGGACCCGTGTCGGTGGAAGAGCGCTTTTAATGAGAGCAATTTCCGAGTGGATAAAGCTCCTGACACTCACACCCTTCTCCGGAAAAAGGAGGAGAGAGGAGAGCCATTCCATCCGCAGCACAGACATCCTTCGGATGGGCCATCGTTACTCATGGGAGGTCGAGCGATTGCTTGGCTTGGCATGGAGAGCACATCTCCCCATTGTTAGGATTTTATGAGTGGAAAAGGAACAAACAGGAGTCTCGGGCCTTTGCTGCTCCGCGCAGGCTTCCTGCCAGGCAGGAATAACCCGGGGTGCGGCGCGAGAGGAGCCCACACCCCGCCAAAACAATCGCCCGACTTCCCCAAACAGGACCAATCCACTCCGGGTGCAAACGTCATCACGGAGCGACCACACGGAGACTGCTAAATCTGTCTGTCGCCACAAGGACCAGGCCAAGGCTTTTTTGCCATTTCCTGCTTTGGATTCATTTATTATTCTTATCAGGCAGCAGACAAAAATGTCACGCGGGCTCTGATCTCTTTATGGAAACACAGGAAAAGCCACATTAATGATGAAGCTGGGGAGAATTCTTTGGTGATTAAGTTACCAGAAATCATATGCACGTACCGCATTTAAGGAAAATAAGCCCTGCGGTAGGGCGCTGACCTGGTCCCTCTGTCTATAGAGACTATGGCTTCTTGGAGGGTAGAGGAGAGCGTGCCAAGAAGATTCAAGCTGCACACTTAGGGCAACAGCTGCCCATGGTGGTCTTCTCCCTGCCAGCACACTTCACTACCATCTCTGCTCCTCTCCACTGTGCTAGAATAATGCGACACCTTCCCAGCATGGTGGCAACAGGCACATTCCAGCAGCCACAGGTGGTATTTCAGTTTGGCAGAGTCCACGATGAAGATGTGAGACTATTCCTGGTCATTTCAGAATGACCTTCTAATTCACTGAAGGCTACTAGAAAGTTTAGCACTACCTGGGAAATACTCACCAATGTCAACTCTCCCGATATCCACAAAGAGCCGCAGCACCACCGATCCCAGCAAATACCCAAAAGCAGGGCCAAACACTGCGATGGAGAAGAGGATAGCTAAAAGGAGAAAGAACCAGCATGAGTAAGCTGTCACTGAGAGGCCACCAGATATTGCATTTGTCTTCCTACATGAATAAGGGAAGATATCACAACATGTAGAACACAGGAATCATTTTTTATGGAGTGACAGTTGATGAACAGCTCCCCGCTGATCATATACTGAATGCACTGTTTATCCAACAGTGTTAGAAGGTAGACAGGTATCTGCCTTTAAAAAACTCCTCTGTGCTCTGCTGAGATCAAAGCTTTCCTGATGTGCTCAACGCTTGCAGCTGCGCTTTCAATATCCGTGATTCACCATAACAAAGTGGGAAGCACAGACAGGAGCAGGGAGGTGACTCCTGGGCTTCTGCAAGGGATGGAGGCCCCCACCTGCCGCAGCAGTCTCAGTCCTAAGAGCTGAGTGAAAGTATTTGGTCAACCCTTTGGGGAAGGAGGGGAGAGATGCTAAAGCAGGGACAGCAAAAATTCGTAAATTAGCCTCAGTTCTCCTGAACCATCCATTTTTTCAAAAAAAGCAAATGCAAGAACTAGCACAAAGCGTCAAGAGACTTCCTTTTTACTTCTTTGGAATTTAAATGATCCAAGTTTCCTTCCTGAAAGAAACTCTTTGCATGACCCTTTAAAAATGATCAGAAGGAAAAGGCCTGCTCAAGCTGCCATGCTGGGCTGCTGCTGAGCGGAGAGCCGTGCTCACCCCTATCCAAGTTGCTCCCTCTCCTCCCCCGGATTGAATCACTGGCTCTGCAACCACAGCCCGGCACTTGCAAATTCCAGGAAATCTCTGTGCTCATGAGAAATAAAGCCTTGCACTTCCCCCCTACAAAACCACACAATCCCACCCCCAATTCACCCAAATAGTCATGCAGCATCTTAACTTCAAGCAAGTAGCCAAGTCCAACTGAAGCCAATGGGATTCATATAATATGGGTGCCTTTTGCTTACGTGCATATTAGGTATGAAGATATCTGAGCTCATTGCTATGCCTCGGCTGTGTTCCTATTTTAAAAGTGCTCTTCTCAAGTGGGCAAGGTGATGCCTTTGTTTCTAAAATATAGAACTAAGTATTTAAATACAGGGATTTCATTAAAAAAACAGCATTTAATTTCATAGATAGTTAGACAGTAGCGTTCCTTGTCGTAAGAAGATAGTAAGACCTAGAATATAATGAGATTCAAAAGGCAGTGGTATTTATGTTGTATTGAGGTCATCTAGACTTGCAGTAGCCAACATCTGTCCTATGAGGAAAGACTGAGGGAGCTGGGCCTGTTCAGCCTGGAGAAGAGAAGGCTGAGAGGGGACCTGAGCAGTGTCTACAAGTACCTCAAGGGAGGCAGTGAGGAGGATGGTGCTGGTCTCTTTTCACTGGTGGCCACTGACAGAACTAGAGGAAACAGCCGAAAACCGAAGCATCAAAAGTTCCACAGGAACTTAAGGAAAAATTTATTGACAGTGAGGGTGCCAGAGCACTGGAACAGGCTGCCCAGAGAGGTTGTGGAGTCTCCTTCTCTGGAGATCTTCAAACCCGCTTGGACGCAGTCCTGTACCACGTGCTCTAGGTGACCCTGCGTGTGCAGGGGGTTGGACTAGATGATCCCTAGAGGTCCCTTCCAACCTTAAGCATTCTATGACTCTATGATTCTATACCCTCCAGCAGGGTATAGCTATCCATCAATATCTAAACAACTGTTATTACATAGAGCAAAGCAACCCCACAAAGAACAAACCAACCCCATGTTCCTTCATCTTCAGGATGGGCAGGTTTGAGAATCCAACAGGCACTGAATTGTCCTGGGGCCACTGATTCTTCACCATGAGAGAAGATCAGTTTGTTTTACAATATCTTGGGAGCCAAGTGTCACATCCTTAGCTGCTTTCCAAGGGAAAGGGAAAAATCTGGTGGCCAGATTTTCCAAAGAGCTCCAGTTTTGCCTAGGAAGCCTGGCTGCCAATTGGAGCCTCTGGTGAGCTCAGCGTGCAAGAAGGGGCACCGCAAGTGCCAGATCCTTAATGAAAATGTGACCTTGCTAATGGGTGCTGAGCAGATGAGATGATAAACGGGTTTCCTGCAGTTCCCAGCAGTGAAACAACGCCTATTGCTGAGAACTCCTACTGTCATTGGTCCCTTCCAAGGCTTCTTCTAAACCTCTTATGGAGAAAAAAAGAAAGGAAAACAGGTATTGGAAAAACAAACAAATAAACAAACAAAACTCAAACAAAAACAAAAAAACAGCTTCTTGCCCTCATTTTGCCAGTCAAAACTATTCGAGCTGAGAGGAACAAGGGAGTCTTGCTGGAAAGGGTGTTTCCAACCTTTCTCTGGAGCTTTTACATGGTGTGACAGCCCTTTTTAGCAGGAGTCTGGAGCGAAATATGCCTGGGTGAGTCTGGAGGCCCTGCCAAGTGCTGTACAAAGCCTGTCCTTGCGAGTCTAATCCCAAAGGCTTTCCCTTCTCTTTAAATGCTTACCTTATTTTGGAATATCCGGTTTTGACTCCTAAATCACTCTGATGCCTTTGGCTGCTCCAAAGACATTGTTCAGCACCAAGAGGAATTAGGTTTTTAAATAGTTTACAGACTGAATGGGAAGATCATGCCGGGGCTCCAGGCCCAGCCAGGCTCTACTGTTCCCAGGGAAAAGATTCACAGTTTAACGTGTAAGCCAATACCTACTTCTGTGGAATCAGAAATCCCTCTGAGCTTGGGAACCTGTCTCTTGGAGGGGCTGAAGGCTGATCCCATAGCAACAACATCTACTTCAAAGCCTTTCTGCAACACCTGCATTAATTGTACAACGTGTGGTTCCTGTAGCCTGTCTGCCCCTGGCCAAAGCATAATAAACAGATGCTAAATAAGAGCCTCTGAGAAAGTTTTCTTACTGCTTTCCTCCCCATGAATGGCATCATGTTTTCACAGACAGTAAAGCAAGGGGGATGTTCCAGCTCATTCAGCTGTTCTGGATACCCACTTGGTCTGAACCAGCTACACTTTATCTATTCACTTATACTCCTTCCTGGGCTTCCTAATGCCCTCACCATAAATATAACCCTGTAGAGACCAAGGGCACTAAGCAGGAGAAGCAACCCAGCATTTTGATGCAGAGAACCTCACCTGAGTCCCACCAGATGCTCAGTGGGAAGACACACCATGAGGAATTGTCATCATGTGGCAGCAAACCTTTGTTGGAGCTGCCACTCTGGTTAGAGCTGTGTCTGCTATGACTTTTCTGGTTCTTTAGGGAGACGGGACTGAGAAGGTCCTCGCTGCACTTTCCTCTACCCAGAATTTCTCATCTTTTCAAAAGGGCCGAGCCTCAACTACCCAGTGCTAGGACATTGTGGGAATCAAACCTGGATGAGATCACAGAATCACAGAACAGTTGAGGTTGGAAGGCAGCTCTGGAGATCATCTGGTCCCACCTTTCTGCTCAAGCAGATTGGTTAGAGCAAGTTGCCCAGGATCACGTCAGTTGGGTTTTGAGTATCTCCAAGGATGGAGGCTCTGTTCCATCAAAAATTATAAACAATATGATCTACCCTTGATCCTCCTCCAGACTCAACAGCTCTCTAAGGTTCTCTAGTCCTTCATCTCCTGCCTTTCAGTTCTGTGGCCTGGGGCAGTAGTGGACCTTGGGAGAGATGTTATCCAAGCTCCTTCCACATCCATTGCCTTCTCTGGGCAGCGAATTTTGTCCAGACTATATCCAGTCATGGATCACCTTGGATCACAAAGTGTTAAAGGAAAATTGGAGCTTATGGCTGCCAAATCACACCTCCAACGAGTGATAACAAGATTGAAACTGGGCTTTTCTGGTTTCCTTATCTGTTTACTTGCAGATTTGCGTATCTGTTGATTTACTGAAATAATCTCCAAGAATCAATCTCTCTCTTTTTTTGTGGAGAATTTTACTAGCTGAAAAGTCTGTATTTCCCAGCTAAGCTCTAGTGGGCAAATTCTCAACAGCCCTAATCTTGTTCTAACGTTCATTCCCTGCAAAGAACTGCTGTCCACACACTTACTCTTCCCAGAGCAATAATATTCCTTGCTCCTGCACTGCAGCTCTAGCCTATCTTGTGGTGGGCAGCAGATTCATCTCCAAATAAGCATCTTTCCATTTCATCTCTAAGGTCTGAAGGATGTGGAATTTGTAATGAAATAGCAAGAAACAACTGCACTGCTTCATAAGCAGAGGAATCTTTCCACTTACCAACATACAGAGGGGAGTTGTTTGCTTCTGCAAAGTCGTCTACATAGGAAATCCCGAAGGGCTGGATGGGAACTGTCCCAATTCCAGCCAACAGTTGGGCGATGACCATCATTGCCCATATACTGCTGGCCTCCTTCTGGGGATCCTGAGTTGTGTTTGGACACATAAACTTATTCTCAGAGTAACAGAGTTCAGCCTGGATCTGGCTCTTATTACCTGGAATGAAAAAAGTAAGATTTGAAGACTGTACCAAATACCTAAATTTCTAGGTACCAGGAAATCTCCCAAATTTCCTGGAGAGTCACACATGACTGGAGTTCAGCTGAACTGGCTCATTTTAATCAGTAGTTATCATCGCATTTTCCAATCCTTTGCAGCATTATATTGAGGTCAGTATAGCAAAGGAACAGTGTGTCTTTTTATCTTTTTTTTTTTTTTTTTTTACGACAGACTGATTAGAGTAGAAGGAAGCAAAACAATTTCTCCTGCATGCTGTGACTGTGCAGGTGAAAGGTCCACCCGAAGTCCAACTCCAACAAGTCACATTTCAGCTGTCAGCAGAGGATAAAAAGTTCTCCATAAAACTTGATGGAAAGCTGGGCTCAGCCAGTTGACATAAGCCTTTGGATGGACTGTGTCAAAATCAGTGGAAAAGTATAAATATTTTCAGATGGAAAAACCCATTCCTCAGGCAAAATAAAAGAGTTACAGAGCAAATAGAGCAATCCTGGTCTTTTAATTTAGCCATTTTCATTCTGGCTTTTTATTATTGTTATTTGTAGTTGTTTCAACATTCCTATCACGTCTTTCTAGTTAAAGAAATAGCTTTGTGGATTTTTCTATGCTTCTGAGCAAATAGAAGCAAAGCAAAAACAAATATTTGTTAGGTGATTAAGGGTTTTCATTGGCATAATGTGGCAGCACATTCCTAAGAGCGGGTCACCACAGAAATTGTTATGCAAGTTTATTTGAGGCAGTGCTTGACTGAAGGGTCTTTTCTGAAAGAATGAGTCTCCTTTGCTAATAAAGATTTTACTGTAACAAAAAGTGAGTGCCACCGGAGCCCTCTCGTGCCAAATTGCACATAGTGGAACAAGGCTGCTCTCAATGAGACATTCAAAACCAAAGGCATGGCTTGTTTTCCCTGCCAACAGTCTTTATTTCCGCGTGGCACCTGGGCAGAAACGTGGAGGAACGCAACCCAAGGATGGCCAAGCTGCCACGTTGCTGTTGCCCTCAGAGCTCAGGAGCAGCTCAGGTGCTTTGAAAGCAAGGACCGTAATTCCTCACATCATCCTGTGGTTGGGACATTGAGAGGTTTTCATCCTGTTCAAGGTCTCTTGCTGCAATACTCACTTGACCCAGACTGTAAGAGCTTCACAGGCTGTGCCAGCACCTCATCCATCTGGTGCACCTACCACAGCGTCCCTACCAAGAGGGATGTGGGTCTCACCAGCCCGACAGTGAGAGCTAAGGGCATTAATGGATTCAGGACGTTACCAGTGCTGTGGCAGGCCAATCCACACTGTGTGCTTGCAGCCTGGTAGCTGAGGATCTCCATTAAACACCACTCTCCAAGGTATTCATGTGGGTGTCCCGAGGCTCCTTTGATTCCCACTACTTGGGGTTAGGAAAGAGAGCCCTGATACCGTTCCATTTCACAAGTCATAGTATCACTGGTGTGAACAACACCATGACTAAACGCGGTTTCACGCGGCACTGGTATGCCTGGAGCTCAGACCAGTTTCCTGCAGGACAGCATTAGTCACAGCGGCCACGAAGACAGGGTGAGGTGCATACTTCAGCCCAAATCAGTCTATGCAAATGCCCAGGCTAACAGCAGAGCCCAGCCCAGAGGAAGAAGGTCAGCAGCCGTGCCAGCACCACACTGGGACCGGCGTGGGGTTGCATATAAACACGTATGGCTCTAGGCAGGGAGGCAGGATGATGAGCGTCACTTTGACTTGTTTCCTTAATGATAAAGAGTAGCCCTTGTCCCAAATGCTGATCAGTTCATAGTCTGGCTAATGATTTTAAAGCCTCCTTCTCTTCAGCTTTTGGAAAACCTGGTATTCAGTGCTTGTTCCACTTCTCAAACCCACCCCCTCCTCCCCAAAAATCATACATTTGGGTTTTGATGGAAAGGCATCAATTGCAAGCCAGCAGAGAGCTGGTTTTTGTATTTCTGAGTGAACTCTGGAACGCTGTCAGCCCCACACTGAGCCATCGTTTATAAGTGTTCCATAGAGTCTGGGCTGCAGATCAGCGCTGGTGGTGCCAGCTTTCCCAGAGCAGAGTTGATGTGGGATAACAAAGCAAGAGGGCTTCTAATGCTTTGGTAGGAACAGAAATCTTCATATAAATATGAGGATATTTCTCTTAGGTGTGTCTTGCTCCCTATCTAGGAGCTACCCAGCAGCTCCATAGCAAAGCCAAGGCTCCCTTCCTCAAAGCAGCAGGCTAATATTTAATGCATGTGACCCAAAACCTTTCCAGAATTAATCTTCTCACTATAAGTGCAAGATTTTATCTGGCTGGCACTGCCAACACCTCTGCCATTCCTCTCTGTGGCACAAGCAGTACGAGGGAAGTTGGCAAAGAGATGAAGTGACTTAGGAGCCTAAGTCCTGCTTTCAGAAGTGTCAGGTCTTGAGGAGGCTGAAGCTCATTGGCATCCCAAGGATTAAGACACTGAAGTTACTTTGGAAACCTGATGTCAGCCTTGTATGCAGTGCAGACACTTCTAAGTATTGCACTCTGCATGGAAACTGAGTTGTCATCACGCCTGCCAGCCTGTTCCCAAAGCCTGCCTCGAATCAGTAGCCCTTCTTAGGATAGACTGTATGACCTACTGACTACTGTAGGAGAGGCATCAGCGACAGGCAAGCTAAATTCTGCTTTATTATGACCTTATTTGTCATGTTTTAATTTCTCTGTGACTCAGCTGAAGATTACAATACTTTCTTATCCTTTTCAAAAGGTTTTGATCTATAGGTGAAACATCAACTGCACTGGCCTTCAGCTTGGGCGGTCAGCAAGGCCACTTGGCCACCTCACTCCTGGGGAAGGAATTTGTGGTACCACCATTGCTCTCATCCATCTGCACTGAGAACAATAAGAGCAACATCTGCCATCACATGGCAACCAGGAGAAAGGAGAAGGGAGTCCATTGCTGATGTGAAGAAGGCATGCACACTCATCAGCACCAGAATTTTGGATCTGCCACATTAATCTCTTTGGCCTGAGAGCACATGAGCACTGACGCACAGCCCAGAGCTATTAATTTCTCGAGCAGATAAAGGCCATCCCAACAGGACCGATATGGCCAGGACTGTTCCGGTACAAATCCAGCTCAGCATTCAGCTAGCACAAGGCCTCAGTGGGCAAGGCGCCGCAGAGCCTGCAGCCTGCCACATGGGCACTGGGGGAAAGCAGAGATCTTGGAGCCTCCCGGGAATTGCACCATTGCCCCAGAGAGGTGCAAAGTGAAGTGACTTGTTCACAGTCATGCGGGACAACAAGAGCAGAACCAGCATCTCTTGCACCCCAGGGCTTCTCTCCCAGAGCCAACTCTGCATTGTGCTTCACATTTTCTCTTCAGCTGTCTTTTTTGCATAGCTGGATGGTATTTCATCATTATTAATGATGCTGTCAGCAACAGCAAGTCATGAAGGTTCAGATCTGCAGCAGGGATACGTCTGATGCTATGGAAAGCAAGACTGTTTCCAGGATGATCAGGAACAGGTTGGAAGGACATACACGGCCCATCCAGAAAGCAGAGACACAGAATGCTTAGCAGTCCAAAGGGAGTAGGGCTTAGGCAGGAGAGAAAGAAATCAGAACTAACAGTTACACCATTATCATGACTAACTTTCAAAGCAAACATGTATTATAATTATTTCATGATTTCCGTGTTGGAAGATATATTTCTTTCACATATCATGGAGCCCTTTTACAAATATTCCAGAAGGTGACAGATCCATGCGGGATGCTGTCCACCTCACATACTGCAGCTGAGGTTATTAGCCCTATGGCAAGCTCTTTGTGCAGTTGTGAGAGGAAGTGGTGTCTTCATAACCTCTAAAGAGATCCTGTCCTGCTTAGCTTGAAAAAACAGATGTAGGTGGAGATATGCTCCCTCTGGAGGCCTTTAGGAGCATCTGTGGGGAAATTTGGTCCTTCACAGTAGCAATTAAACTTGTCACCTAAAGTTGTGGCTCAGATAACATGCCCAAGGAAGGCAGAAAGGATCCCACATGTAACTGTTGCATTCAAAAGGCGTTGCAAAACTGTGTTGAAATCAGACTTAAAATAGAAAATATTTGCCCTACATCATTCCATTCAAACAACCTGCTTATATTCAGCATACAACAAATACAGCCATTCTCATTTTCAAGGAGGCATGGAGAACCAAGTCCAAAGCAACTGTGGCCAAATTTATGATGGGGAAGGTGATGAAAATAAGAAGACTCAATGGCTGTACATCTCTGTGGACAGCAACGAGATAAGAGATGAGGTGGACATCTTTATTTGCACTAAAGGTTACCTTTTAGTTGGAAATCACTTCTTGCTCTGACACATGCAGGCAAGAAGAGAGCAGTTAAGATGCAGATGGAAACTAGCGTAAGGCACTGGGAATGGTCTAACTGGTTGCTACATCTTGTTATGCAAGAGCTGATATCCCAATGTATGTACTTCTTATTCATACTTCTTACTCAACTGTGAGGTCCTTGGTCCTTAAACAGGTAAGTGTGCTCCTTCAAATGTCCTACACATCCACCAAAATTGATGAGAAAACAAGGATCAGAGGGGTAGGGCTTCTGCTTGGGTCAACTGAAAACTGGCAGAGCACAGCCCTCAAAGTGCCTCTAGAGGATGATGGTCAGGTTGTACATCTCTATGCCAAGACGCAGACGTCATGTAAGCCTTTGGTTGAACCATCTAATCTTGCTCCAGAATAACCACCTGCATAAGAAAATGCCCTCTCAACTTATCATTTCTCCCATGTTACCCATGCTACCTAGATCAAATCTGAGAAGGAACATCTTTTGTGTTGTGCTGCTTGTATTACAGACACCCCTTCTCTCTAGGGATGCATGGAGGCACTTACCAGCACTCAGCGTGGTGTATTCATACGGGCCCGAGAGGAAGTGAGGAAGGGTCACCAGGAAAGCTCCAAGTGCCAGTAGCAGGCCTCCCACTCCTATCACCCGAGGGCGGTGGACTCGGCTGCCAAAGTAGCTGACAAAGATGATGAGGACGACATTGCCAATCTGGAAAGAGCAGAGTGAAACGGGAGGAACATTAGAAGACGTCACGGCGGAAGTCAGGCCGTGCCCAAAAACTGCTCCCCGAGGTCTGTGTACAGCTGGGTGGAGAAGTGTCTTGGTCAGGTGGTGCTTGGCCCCTGAAGAGCAAGAACAGGGCAGCCCTCAGCTACACCCTGCATATTCACAATGATTCAGTGCTTCCTTCTTATCGAAGGCTAGCGGGCCAACTCCTTGGATCCCGTAACCTGTGTGCCTCCTTTCTTATCGTGGACTGCTTCACACCTCCTGGTGATTGAGCTAGGGCTTTCTTCAGCTCCCACATGCTCTCCACCCAGTAGGACATGGCGTAAACTAATGACTCCCCAAACTAATTACTCCCCCAAATCCAGCAAAAACTTCTGCACTCTGTTACTGCCTCTGTTCCCACGGTTCTAAGCAGACATGAGCCCAGCCACAAAATCCAGCTCACTGCAAATGTTTGTAGCTCTGGGCACTTGGAACTGCAGATATGATCACAGTCCATTTATCCTCATTTTGCTAAAAAGATAAAAAGAAAATGTGCAGCTTACTCAACACAGAATACGAGCCATAGCTCTTAGGCACAGGGACGAAAACCATAAAATTATAATTATATGCATTTTTTTCTGCTTGAGACAAGCTAAATATTATTTTAACTTTGGTATTTATGCCTAAGTATCCTTTTAATATGTGTTTAGATTGAGCTCCCTTGTTTTGTCTCTTGTGGTTTTTGTTCTTAAAATTGATGTAGCAATTAATTAAAAGACTACCATTCTAGACAGGCAGGAGAGCTTACACAGAACTAGAAAGAAGCACAGAAAGATATTCTTCAAAGCAGAGGAATAAAGATGTCTCTGTCACCTGAAAGCAGAGAGTATTTAACAGCATGGTATATGTTATAGTACCTTCCTTTTCCCTTTATCCTCTTGCAGTAAGAGACTGCTCTACATGCGTTTTATTTTGCTAACATTTCTCCAAACATTAAGTTGCCAAGTAAAAGCAATTTCTCTAGTGCATAAAAGCACACGAGTTATTGAGGTATTAATGCATCACTGCTGTGAGTGACAGGATACCTAACTGTACAACAGGACTATCAGTAATGATCATCAGTAATGATCATCAGTACTGGATCTCCTTCTTCGCGTGGTTTGGGACTGATGGAAGTCAGTGGGAGGTCCCTCACTGGTGTGAGTGGACTTTGGTTCAGTCCTTCTAACCTCTGGTAAATGTGCTGGTAGGGGTAAGACCTGGGCACCTACTTCTCAGAGGTCACAGAGGACTGCAGCCTAAAGCGCCCAAACCCTTGGTGAGTACAAGTCTGGCCCTGATTGTCTCAGCATCTTGAAAGAGCAGAGAGCTAGCAGTTCTGCTGAAGACAAGGTATATGTTCTTGCAGCATATGCCTCAGGGGGTTGCATTTCTCCTGAGATGTACAGAGCTGCTTCAAGAACTTGTCATAAAACACAGCTGTTCATCAAGTACCAGGTTTAAATTGAAGTTCTTTTCACATAGAACAGCACAGCTGCAGCCTGAACGCAGTTTATATGGAGACCAGCCTCGTAAGAGGATGCTGGTGAGAGTTAGTCCTTCACCACAGGGTCATCAGAGCGGGGAATACATGGAAAGGGACAGACATTGGAGAAGTTGCTGGCCAATGTCTCCTTTTAGCAGTCATGAGAAAGCTTGGAATGACTCAGACCAAAGCTGAAACCTACCAAAATAGAGAGTTCTAGTGGAAACCACCGATGGGACTGTAGTCATGGCTACAGTCTCTCCTTTCTGGCCAACCCTCACGGCCCCCACAGAAGTTTCTCATCCAATTACCTCGTGCAAGCTGGAGATGAAACCTGAGGAGAGACTTGAGAGTCCAAAGCGCTTCTCAATAGTGGTGAGGCTGCTCTTGAAGTTGGCGCTGTAGAGGAGCTGGGAGAGCTGCAGAAGGCCATGGCACACCACAAACACCTGCAGACAAAACAGTGCCATCCCAGTTAGTACCTGATAGCTGCCCAGTTGATGCCCTGCTGGCAACCATGCCCCATGTAAGTGATTTAAAAGTCATATACATACACAGACTCAAATAGGCCAATACATCTGTATGCCTGCTGCGTACCAAATCTAACAAAGAGCTGCCCTCACCATGCACTACTACCATCCAGCACCACCTTTCCCTTTCTTTCCCTTCCCTCCCATTTGTTCACTGTCTGCACATGCCCGAGGATATCATTTCTGAATGCAGGACACACATATCTATGCTGTGAACATCCTTCTGTGATGCAAGGTGCTTTTGTTGCTTCTCAAGCCCCAAGTTTATTGATTGCTGTGAGCAAGCAAGCGAACTCTTCTCTTCTACTAAGAGTTAGCTTTGCAAAATGAGCAATACAGTGTTTAGAAGAAAGGCCAAGGATCACTGTTACTGACTTTCCTCTGCTTTTGCTGTTACTAATATTCATTATTACTTGCACTGTGATAGCACTTGGTGGAAGGAAGACCTGATGCACCAGGATTACACAATGATAAAGCTGCTGTCCTGCGGCTGAAAGGGAGCTATGTGTGTTCAGGCTAGCTGAGATCCAGTATTTCCACTTGGTCCCCTAGATTCACTCAAGCTGTAAAGCAAGTTAACAGTGTTTTCTCCAGTGGGTTTTGCCAGACAAAGCTTGTGTTGGTAAAGGGCTTTTAAAGCTCCGGTGGGAGAGGCTGAAATATTTGTAGTGGATTCTCAATACTGGAAGACCTCTTCCTGTATTCTGTATTGAGAATTCCTGTATTGTAGAAAGAGCATTGCTTCCTTGAGCCATCTAAATCAGCAAGTCAAGCAAGAAACCAAACCAAATGAGCACAGAACATGAGCAGAAGCAGGAATACAGAGACTATATGGAGCAGTGCATAAGCATGGTTGAAAGAGCCAGGGTAGCCAGGGAAAGGAAAGTCTTCTCAGTCGGGGATAGAAGAGACAGCTCAAAAGTGTCTTTTGATCTATATTTAGCCAGAACAGATTTCCTTTATTCTCTTTGGAATGGAATGTGTCCACATGGTGCCAGAAGTATTTTAAAATCATTTAAAAAAGGAAAAAGAACTTTTTATTTAAAATTCACAGGAAATCAAATATTTGCTGAACACCGGAAGCATGTCCCACAAAGATAACGACAGGAAGCCCAAGATGATGGATGGGGGATCAAAGGTACTGCACTGCTGACAAATTCCTTATGTCCTTGGGTAGGGGAATAGCAATAATTGTTATTATTATTTATTTGAAATGATGGTAGCATCCAGAAGTCAAGGGCCGAAAGAAGACTCCATTGTGTGAAGTTCAGCAGAAAGAGCAAAATCATATATCCAATGCATAGGATGCAGATGCCACAGGTAGCTAAAATGGACTTCTGGGGAGCATTGGAGGTCACAGAGACCGGGGGATCTGTCTGGGTTTGCTCCAGCAATTACAAGAGGATTTGGATGTGGACAGCAATGGCTTTTGGTGGAGATTCTGGGAAGCTGAGGGAGAGGAGCACAGAACTGGGTATCTAAAAATACAAGAAAAAGGGGATAGCTAGCATTTTGCTATATGATAAAAAGCTACAGAGACACAATATGCAGTGTAACATGGAAATCGCTCCCAGAAAGGAGATAAAGCAGAAATGAAATACTTGAAAATAAAATTCTGAAGCTGAAGGAACTTTAAACTTTCCAGCTATCAGCTCCTATATTTATAAACACACTGAAACACGTGGTCATGTGGATGATATCTAGATCCACCTTCACTTTCCCAATTCCTGTCCTGGCATCATGAATAATTAATTCAACCAGGGCTGTCCTGGAGCAGAGAGGTGACTCCTGTGGAGATGAGAAATAGACAGGGAATCTTGCTGCCAGATAACATTAACCTTGTTTCTGCAATACTGGCTAGATCCTATTTAGATGCAGAACAGCTGAAGGGAGCATTCTCTTGCTGCAAGACATTAGCTACATATGGGGAGAGAATAGGGTGGACAATGGAGGCTTAATTTAGTGCAGGGCATGTCAGCCTAATCCTAGGACAAATGGGAAGATGAGAAGTGTCCAGCAGAAATGGTGGGATGAACTGGAGATGGGGAGAAGACAAGGACGAAGGGCAGTGGCGAATCATCACTAAAGAGACTGCGCTTCATGAGAGAATATGGAGCAGGAGACCAGAGGGACAAACAGAGGTCAGAGAGGATGTGCAGGAAGAGATGGAGAGATTGCCTGAAACGGGCTTACGTATTAGCAATACCCTGCCAAAGCAGGGAGGTTGGTCTTGAAAACTTGCCTGGGTGAGGGAAGGCCACCCATGAGAAATACAGCTGGAGACCAAACGAAAGGGGAGGAGGAAGAGTTTGGGGCATGACTGCTTCCCCTCTGCCCGTGAACCTCATCCTGCAGAGTGACAACAGCCTGAGGCCAGGTGATGGCTCAATCTGACAAGCTTGGCAAGCCTGCTGAGCCCCAGGACAGGGTGACAGGGATGGGGGCAGGCGTGCCAGCAGAGCCTGGAGCAGCCCGGCTGGAACGGCCTGGTAGACCGGTGCTCACTAATGACTGAATCACCTACTTCCATTACGTGGCTTCTGTGAGCAGAGCTGGTAAGAAAGACAGGCAGGAGGATGGCTCAGGGGGTTGATCCCACCCATCACTGGCACTGTGATGACACAGCACAGTCAGCAGCCTCAGTTCTTGGTTGCAGGGAGCTGGAGGATGGAAGAGGAAGGGAAGAAGAGTGTTTTTGCATGGAAAGAAGCTGAGGTTGGAATCCCACACCAAATACTCAAAGCAAAGCAAAGCGAAACAGCCAGGACTTCTGCGGCTGGAATTTGGCTCTTCCAGACATGCTTTAACTGTCCCAAGGTGAGAGACATGCCTGATTTAAGACTTCCCCTACGTCCAGGAGGCTCATTTTTGTTTAAAATAATGACTGTCTGAGCTTTGAAGGCCCTGCAGAGAGCTGGGAAAGGGGCCTACTTGGCTGGCTGCAGTGCTGCTCAAGGGGAGCCTCTGCCCTGCCCAACCTCAGCACAGAACAAGATGCTCTGGCCATGAAGCACAGGCTTCCAAAGCTAGAGGAGATGCAGCGACACAACTCTGCCCCTGGCACCTCATGTCCCCCAGCCTTGGGCCTCTCCCATCTCACTCCTCCCCACGCACTGTCCATGCTCCTGTGGCCTTCCACACACTGCTGTGACCTCCTTGTTTTCCCTCCAGCTTCCTTGACCACAATCCTTAGTTCTCTCTGAAATGTCTTTCGGATGTTTTGCCGTTTGTCCTTCATTTTTACACTCTGCTTTATAGCAGAGCAAACAGCCCCAGCTGAGATGTGACACTTGCTGTGAGCGGGGCATGCACCCATGCATGGTGCACTCCCTGCCCAGGTATGCAGGGTAGATGGAGGGGGAGGACAGAAATAGAACAACATTTGCCCAGTAGACATGTTCTTCAGTCTTTTCTGGTAGGCTAGCCTCAAACTGGGCACCTATTTTGCTCATCTCTCCCTGAGAGGTCCCTGTCTCCATTCATCGTCTCTCTGCAGTTCCTTCCTCAGAAGCCAGAAAAAGCCCTGCTGCCTCTGAACGGTGTGAGTGGGCTTGGGGACAAGTTCACCACCCTTTGTGGAGGCACCCATGAGCGTAAGCCCACCCCAAAGCCTCCCACTATTTGCTGGTTCCTGGAAACCAGCACAGCAGCAGTCACTGCCCCAGCACTGACCTGGTCCCTTCTAGCTGTCAGAGAGCACCAGATGTGCAGCATTAACTCTGCACAGGCGCTGAGCACCCCCATGACAGGACAGAGCTACTATCATCCATCTTTCTTAACACTTAACAAAAAAGGCTTAAAGAAGAGTAAATGAACCCATTTGAAGGGATGTTTTGCTGACAGAAAGCAGGCGCAATGGCACCGAAGACGAAGGCGTGGCTAGAGGTTAAGGAGTTGGGGACATTCCTACACATATGAAGTGCTGCTCTTAGCCATTTCTAACCTTTGTGAGCAGATGCTTCGATCAGATCCCGGAGTATTTTCAGAGTTGCAGGTGAGTTCCAGCTAATGGTGCAACTACAGACACCCGGGATGCAGTGCAGAAAGGCTGAAGGCAGCACCCACGTGCACATCAACATGCGCATGCACACACATACACACACTTGTACCAAATCCCCTCTTAATCATCCTGACATTTCCTTCAGAACGCTTGAGCGATCCTGACTCCAGGCTGTTTATACAAGACACTTGACTCCTTTCCAAGATACACTTTATTTAAAATGGAAGCAAATGCCTGGGGAGAGGTTCCTCACATGTACGCTGCTCCCCGCCAACTCTCAGAGACGAGCAGCTTCCAGGGCAATGTTTTTCATGAGGAAGAAAATCCACCCTGAAAAATGGAGCAGAGGGGTTTGACCCCTCCGTGATCTCAACAACACTTCCCTGCTTCCTCACCTCGGGTTCAAAATGGAGAGAGCTGCTACATATTCAGTCAGTCTAGCCCGAGATCTCGCTGAGAGGAGATGAACTCAATAAATGCTTGTCCAGCAGTGCTGGTGCAGCTCAGCAGGGAGTCAGGCTTGCTTGCAGCCAGATTCCAAGCACAAGTAAAGCACAGCCTCTCAGCAAGGCTGAGATCCAACTCACCTATACTAGGGGCCTAGCATTCCCCAGGCAAAGCCAGGTATGCCCACAATAGCCTGCACTCTGTTGGAGGATGCATGAGGTCTTGGTTCAGCCACTTCTGCCAGCTCCAGAAGACTCCTGGTCACTCCTTCCTCTTCCCTGAGGTCTATCCTAGCTCGTAGGCAATAAAATCAAGGCTCTGGGAGGAGAGAGGAGTCTCCCAACCTCCACTTGAAACCATTCCACTACCTGAGAGGCAGACAAGTGTAAAGAGACCAGAGACAGAGATCAAAACTGTCTTTGAGGTGGCTGCTGCTCCTGGGGCTGGACTTAGGCCAAGGTGGGCTTAGTGG